CCAATTTTCCACTAAAGAAATTCCCGAAACTGCTATTTCACATTTAACAATGACAAAAAATGAGAATAACATGGTCCAAATGATAGATGAACAGGCCCTTGGTTATTAGATAATTAATCTCAATTACAATTTACACATACTCTTTGTTGTAAACATGTTAAAAGCACAAAAAGAAAGATGGTTTTATTGATATTTAACAAAGAGAGCTCCATACAAAATAAGAAGGAAAAAAAAAAAAATTAATTAATTTATGTTTAACGTATTTTGGATTGTAAATTGAAAACTAGCTTAAGAGTGTAAAGTATCTCACCAGCTAGCCAAAACCAATTTTAATTTTTTAAAATACGAAATTGCCCCTAGTTAATGTTCAAAAAAATTAGTCATGATGATAGGGATCATTGCTGAGGCTATGGTGGAGTTATGACATAAATTTGAAGTCTGCTATTGATAAACTTGGTGCAGTAAATGGGGATGAAATATCAGAAATCTAATTACTAAAAGAAAGCATGTCATGGTTGAAATTTCTTGCTAGTTCCTACAAAAAAAAGAAGCAAAAATTCCTTTGTATTTTTTTAGCTTTTAAATATATGTGGGCCCTTTTTTCTCGTCCCTGCTTTTTTTTTTTTTTTTTTTGGTTTTCTCCTTAAGAAAGATTGTTTATCTTATGCTGAAACAGGCTGTGAAAGGTACAGGGCATAGGTTCCGAGAGATGGTCTGCTCTTGGAGGTCGAAAACCACGATAGAGCTTTGAATTAAGAGTTAAGACAAACGCAACAGCTATAGGCTTGCTGCTACATGATGCCAGTTGTTATTTCTTTCAAATTTTCACAATTTATAAATAGAAGAATTTGATAGTTCGATTTCTAATTTCAACTTGTTATAATGTTCTTGACGATCTATATCGTCATTGCAGGTTTTTGTGGCATTTCGAGGGTGTGAAACTTCACCAGAACCACTGCTTAGTGTAACGAATCCAACATCAAAAATATATTGAAGAGTCTTGAGTTTATAAAAGGGAGAGTCCCTCCACCAACATGTTAGCATTTCGGGTGTGAAATTTCCAGCCTGTGACAAGAGGTAAAAGAGCATCGAGTCCATCTTTCGATGTCCCACCAAGCGCCACACAGGGGCGTCACAGTGTGATTGTGGTTCTACGAGAGTAAGGTGGGCGGTAGCAAGAGGCCCCACCTGTGCGAGGGTGTCCCAGGATTAGGGCGAAAATATATTAGAGAGTTCTTAGGCTTATAAAGGGGGGAAACCCTCCACTTAACAGGTTAACCTTTTAGATTTGAAACTCCCAACCGATGATATTAGGCACAATGACCTATTGCTCGTCAAAAACACTTTTTTTTTTTTTTTTTTTTATCTAGTGTTTACCTGGTTGAAGAGGGAATTGCTACCTTCTTTGTTTGTTTTTAATCCAAATGAAAAGTTTACACTGCTTCATACTCATTAGCTAAGTTAGAAGATTAAATAAAGCTAAGGACTAAGGAGTGTCCTTTACTACTTGAAATAAATACAATATAAGTTTTTTTTATATTTTTTTTTTTCTTCCAAATCATGTCGGTTTCTGTAATATAGCGTTTTAAAGAATTCAAGACAAATTTGTAAATCTGATAACGAAATCTATCATTTTTGTTGTATGGTTATTATAAATGAGGGTCAAGTTATATTTTATTCGATGGAGGGGTGGTTTGTGAATATTATGGAAATCAATGTTTTAAAACCCGGTCCGGCCCGGCCGGTTGAACCTGCTCAACCGAGACCCGGAAGCTTCAACGGGCCGGGTTTAATTTTTTCCTATTCACCCAATACCCAAGGATTTCTGGTGCCGATCGACGAACAATTAACTGTTGGAATGTTGGGGCTTTTGAAGAGCAATTTCCGGTGAATGTAATGGTGGTGAAAGAGTTGATTTCCGGTGAGTAAATCGACCGAAAATCAAACAAAACTGACAGCGGCAACAATAAGATTTTTCCAATCATTGACGAGGCTAACGGGGGTGGGGTAAGGTGTGTTTTGGTCGGGAGGAAAAGGGGAATAATTATGGGGTGATGGGGAGGGTTGTTGTTGTTGGAATCGATGAGATTTGACCTGGAATGTCGACGTCGACGTCGATGAGATCTGGCCGAAATCGAACCTATTTCGGCAAGATCTTGGGTATATTTTGATGGATATGGGCTCAAGGGACGATTGGGGTTGCATCTGGGGTGTCGCCGCTGCTAATTAGTCGTCGGTCGATTTGCAGTTGGGGTGTGTTTAATAAATTTCAAATCTATAGGGACTTAACGAATTTTTAGGGTTATATTTGCTGAATTTTAAAAGTTTTTGTCAACTAGTTTGGTGGCTGGTCAAACTCGTTAAACCGGTCAACCTGGGACCCGGAAGCGTTGCCGGGTTTTACCTCGGGTTAGGTTTTAAAACATTGATGGAAATCATAAGGGAAGTTTGTGCATATTTTCAAAAGGGAGGATTAATATAATATTATTTTAAGTTTAATGTGTATTAATTATATAATGGGCTAAACAATGAGGAGTTCAATCTTTGATGTAACGTCAAAATGTAAAAATAAAAAGTAAAGTGGTATTTTTATGATGTATTTTCATACTTGATATTTGAAGATAATTAGAAATTTGCTTGTAAAAAGAAGCAGCTTGCAGAGGTCTATTTTGTTAACTTAGACATTGAAAAGTCAACCCTTAGTCAAAAGAAGGATATGTATTCTTAATTACCCTTCAAAATAATTTCCTTTATTTAATTGTATTGAATTAATGATTAAAATTTTGTAGTAAATACCTTATGTATACACAACCTATAACACCAAAAAATTTGGTAAATAAACATGTACTTCCCTTGGAATAATGAAAGTCAAATTTAAAAACATAAATAAAACCTAGGGATATTTCCATACTTTTATTATGCATATATGCACTATAGAGGTGAAAAGGTATGTACAAATCTCAAGGGGTTTGTTTGAAGGTCAATAATGTTTGCTTATTTAATTAACTTATTGGGTTCAAACACTTTGGATCACCTATTGCATTTCAGTGGGTTTTGAAGATTAATTGAAGTACGTGTAAACTGACTTAAACACCTTGTTTATTAAAAAAAAAAAAATGTATATACTTATATTTTCCAAATTTAAAAGTCATCATTAAATGAGACTAAGACAAACCATATTCTTTTTTTCTGTTTCCAGTCCTGCAACTGTCCTTGATTTCCAGGTTCTGGGACTGTAAATATGTGCATTGAGCGTCACATCATCGTTCTCCTTCTCCATTGCCTCAACAATTTTTTGATTTCATATTTGAACTTGTTATCTTATGCATTGGTACAATTGGATTCCCCATTCCCCATTGGCCATTGCTTCTTTAGCTCACACTTTTGTCTCCAAATAGAATCATCATTGCCAAAAGAATTACATATTATTTTGTAATCTTAATCGATCCCCACCCTTTTCTAGATTGCTCAGCAATCTATCATTGTGGGAAAGTATTCATGGACAGGGAGAGAGTCAATGAATTGATCTTTGAGGGTCACAATGTAATATGTTATCATTTGAGGGTTATAGAAAAAAGGAATTTAGGTATATATATACGTATAAGAGGGTTAAAGTGTCAAGTTTAACAAATAAGAGGATCAAAGGGTACTTCTAGGGATTAAATTGATAAATATCTATATAGATTCTGGCAATCCTTAACGATTAAGACAAAGTCACAAAACATGTTCCAGTTATTATTAAAGTGTAAATTCTAATATTTCCTTTTTGCCCTCAAGCTCACACTCATCTAATTTTCTCTAAATGTGGGCATGATTTACTCATGAAGGGTTTCAAAATTGAATCATATCGATTTTAAAGAGTTGTAATTTGAATTGAATAGCCAAAATTCAATTTAATTTATTTAGATGTAGGATAAAAATTTTGAGTTTAATATTCATAATCTTTATCAGTGTTCCTAATTTCAATTTGTGCATGTACATCATAATTAATTAATTATATATTAGTTTCTCCAAAATGAGAAGAGATTGGTTTACCCTTACTTAACTTTGATATTTAATAGGCTGAATGAGAAAAAATAAATTAATTAAAAGAGTTTAGTTTTGAGTAGAAGACGATTATGAAAAGAGGGGTAATTTTGTATCTTCATAAATCAAGCTAATTTCCCTCGTAATTATATTATATTAAAATTTATATTACAATTACATAGTCTAGGAGATTGTAATTCGCTGCAATTCTTTCGCCCGCTAACAGGCTTCTGCGGATGGCCTATCTGGCGAAATTTCCCTCTTGAAAACACCCTTCCTCCCATAAACCCTAATTTCACACTTAACTCCAAAACTAATTTTACTACTCAACTTTAGGATCACTTTTCAGCTTAAATACATATATACTCACTCTAAGTTTACCCAGCAACCAAAGTTCATCGATCAAGTCTGAAGCAGAATACACTGAAAGCTAGGCGTTTTAAATTTTGGTTCGACGCTCGATTCACCACCTCAAAATGAGTCCTATTCAGAATTTCGAGCAACACTCGCGACATCTTGTCGAGCCCGACCTCCGTAAGCACACTCCTCTCACTCTTTCTGTTTTGAATTATTAATCTATTTTGTTTCCCTCTGAAACTTAAATTCAAACGAGAAATATAGTTTTTTGACGCCTGTATTTTGTCATTTTTGTTTCCCAAGCGAAACTATACCGTACAAGAAACCTACAATGCAGAGAATTTGTAAATAAGATACGGAAAATGATAGTATTATAGCCTAATTGTAGTTATAGAAGCTAAATCTTTGTTCCAGATCAAATATACGTACGTTTAAACTAAATTTTTACATCTTCTGTTCTTTTTTTTTTTTTTTTAACCGAAACGAGTGTTTATTTTATTTTTTGTTTTTTGTGTTTATGCTGTTGTTTACTTTTTGAAGTAAACAGTTTTCATTGGTGCATTATATTATGATTGTGGGTATAATTCTTTGTCTTCTTGATTTTGAAACAGAAATTCAATTGAGGTTACAGATGGCAATGGAGGTAAGGGACAGTCTGGAGATCGCCCACACGGCAGAGTACTTGAATTTCCTTAAATGCTACTTCCGCGCTTTCTCTCTGATTCTCTTACAAATCACGAAACCTCAGTTCCAAGACAATCCTGAGCACAAGTTAAGAAACATTGTTGTGGAGATCCTCAATCGGCTTCCTCACAGTGAAGTTCTTCGCCCTTTTGTTCAGGATCTCTTGAAGGTCGCAATGCAAGTATTAACCACTGATAATGAAGAAAATGGATTGATTTGTATTCGTATTATATTTGATCTGCTCCGGAATTTTAGGCCTACATTGGAAAATGAAGTTCAGCCATTCTTAGATTTTGTATGCAAAATCTACCAGAACTTTAGATTGACAGTTAGCCACTTTTTTGAGAGTGGAGCGGCTGGTGTAGAGGATGTAAAGCCTGTGAATACTTCTACTTCTTCTGACCAAGGGATTACTGGTACTGGGTACACTGGGCCTGTCCAGCTTAATCCAAGTAGTAGGTCATTCAAGATAATAACAGAGAGTCCACTTGTAGTCATGTTCTTATTTCAGCTGTATAGTCGTCTTGTTCAAACCAATATTCCTCACCTGTTGCCTTTAATGGTTGCCGCTATATCTGTCCCGGGTCCTGAAAAGGTTCCTCCCCATTTGAAGTCTCATTTTATTGAGCTTAAAGGTGCGCAAGTTAAGGTGAGTTATACTTGTTTATTGTGTTATTTGTTATGGCCATTCTATTCAGTGGACTAATATTTGCGTATGAGGTGAGGCCTAAGTAGATAAGGATATAGCTAGGTTGTTTGAACATCTCTTCTAATTGTGCTTGGGCGGTCTGTACTTTTATGGTAATTTTATGTGATTGTTAAGTTGTTTATTTTTATTGAAACATTGCTGTTATTAGTGAGCTTGGATCCATTCATGCATTGCTTCTATACCAAGGAGCTATGCCTTGAGGGATTTCCAAGCCTGACCTGCTTAGTGATTGTAAATGGAATTTCCATCCTTAGTTGTCACATTGTTTTTGATGATGATTCTTTCTGAGATTGAGTATGGTAAAGCCTTGCTTTCCAGTCATTCATAATCCATAGGGGATGAACTTTTATCGCTTTAGTGTAGATGCCCAAGGGGAGGTCAGGAATTCACAGTAAGACAATCTGAAGATCCTAACATCCTTGAAGTTCAAACACACCTCTCTATATTTCCTCCAAAGTGCACCAAGGACAGCACTTGAATTCAATCTCTTAAGCCTTATTCTGGCCAATTAAAAGGTTAAAAGCAAAGTTTAATTGAAATCCTACCCTAAAATGGCCTGGATAATTACTTGAACTGGTAAAAGATATTGTTGAGTAATTGCATACGGCACGTTGTCCTACAAGGGTCGGGTAAATCAAGGAAGTCATCGGATAATAAGATGTTGACAAAATCCTGTGTGATCAAAAAGAAGAAAAAAAGGATTTTATCTGTGCAGTCATGCCATTTGTGCATTTAAGCACAGACACTCAAATGCATATATTTATGTGTACCATATATTTTACTGTTTTTGGACTGTTTACTATTTTTTTTCGTCATTGCAGACAGTTTCTTTTTTAACTTATCTCTTGAAGAGTTTTGCTGATTATATCAAGCCTCATGAAGAAAGCATATGTAAAAGCATCGTAAATTTGCTTGTCACATGTTCAGACTCCGTGTCTATCAGAAAGGTAATGTTTTCTTCCCCCTTAATTTTTATTATTATCTTTTCTTTTTTTTTTTGTTCCCCCTCTGTGTTAAATGTTGACATGGAACATGTTTTATGCAGGAATTGTTAGTAGCATTAAAACATGTTCTGGGGACAGATTTTAAGAGGGGTTTATTTCCGCTGATTGACACACTATTGGAAGAGAGGTAAATCCAACTGTTAAGATATGATTTGAAACAATGTTTGTTAAATGTAAGTTTTTTTATTTTTTATTTTTTTTATCATGAGAAATATAACTAAGTTGCCAAAAATTATTGGAAGTGAAATAGGATAAAACAGATGATATACACTTAAGTACTGTGTTAGCTTATTACTTATGGAGATCTCTCCCTCTACCCTGAAATTTACTGCACTTGAAGTTTAAGGGAGTAATAATCAAGTCAGAACAATGAATTAATGGATTGTAAAAGAAGTAATCTTATGAACCACTGAGCTCAAGTGAAGAAAATGTAAGATGGTTGGTTATTATGAAAGAATCGGTGAATTTTAACATTGTAGCAGTAAATTTTATTTCATGTGATGAACCTTGTTTCCTTCCTCGTGTTAATTTTATTTTTACTTTTCTTTTTAATTTCTTGTGTAAATGTGGTGCTGTTTTAATGATTAGAAAAATGCTTTATTCATTCACTGGGAGGGTTTGTTAAACACTAGCTTCTTGTTATTCTATTCTATTTTTTTTTTTAAAAAGTCGGACTTCTCTGTTGTCTATATCTGCTATTTGGCACTATGCCAAAGCATCAATTGTACATGCTTGAATAGTTTGTCCCGTCAAAGGCTGTTTTGTTTTCTGCTTTGTGGGACCTGGTCCACTTCTGTTCTCTTCTTTAAATTATAGAACCTTTTGTTTCCTTAAAAAATAAATGGAAAAATGTGTTCATTCTAAGGACTAAATAAATTTTTGATCAAGTTGCCAGAACTCATTTGGTAGTTACTAAGGTTTTTATAAGAAATGGTTTAGCTAAATTTAGTTGGTTGCCAGACATGATATTAGTGACTGGAAGCACACTACAAAATAAGAAATGCAAGAGGAGGAACTCTTGGTGCATGCTAATGACTAAATACAATTTTTGATCAGGTTGCTAGAACTTGTAATCCTTTTTCTGGAAAGTAAATTGAGAGCTACATATTTTTGGTTTGTTTAGTGTTGATGCCACACTACTTGCGTAGCCCATAATTGTTCATGACTTCGAAGGGTAACTGGAAAACCTTGTCAAAGCAATATACTAAAATTTTACTCTTTTATGAAGAAGAATTAATATTACAAAGAGTTTACGTTTGCTTGATGTGAATCTCTAAGTTTTATCTGTTGCATATTTCAATAATTGTTTCCTGGTATGTTCGTTTTGATAGACACCATCTTTTTTTGTTAATCACTATTTCAGGGTTCTTGTTGGAACTGGGCGCGCAGTTTTGAGACATTAAGGCCACTGGCTTATAGTCTACTGGCAGAGATTGTTCACCATGTTCGGGGAGACCTCACGTTATCACAGGTGTTGCTTTTATGATGTTTGAAGGATAATTGTGGGCTTCTGTTTTCATCTCTAGGGCATTTATTCTGTTTTCCTATTATTTTATACTGAGGCATCAATTCAACCAAATGGTAGTGTTGTTGGGTGTTTATTTTCATTTGATGCCTTCAAATGAATTTTGGACTATTGTCATTATATGTCATTGGCGGTGTGGTTGTTTTGGCCTTGGTTTAATTTTCTTTTGATGTGATGGGTCATCATAAATCTCTTTTAAAACATGTGAATTCAGGTTCCTATTATGGAACATGGCTCTCTCTTATTTGTTCCTCCAAATCCATTCACTGCTCCTTCCACGCAACCCCTCTGTTTTACATTTTAAAGAAAGAATTGCTTTGATTACATGGTATAGGGCTAAATTGCTGTTCCATAATCTAGATAATAATCAGCTGGTGCTATGTGTTACTCATATAGCATCTTCATATTTGATGGTGCATCTTTCTGTTTCTAATTGATCTTCATCAATTAAGAATCCGTTTTTGATTCCTGATATATTGACAGACATATTATTTTTGTTGAAAAGTAATGTTTTATACTGTTAAATAAACTTTGATGAATATAATGTTCTTTTCTTTTCAAAGAAAATATAACTTTATGCTGGCATAATACATGTTTGTGGCCCAAACCTCCAATTTATTTAGTTAGAGAATAAAGATGTGTGATGAGTCTAGGATGAATGCAGTTTTGGTCTTTTATCCTGAATTTGATTTTTGTCATGTTTAAAGATTTAAAATTCCTTTCCTTTTACTCATTAAACAAAAGATATATAAAGTAAAATCTCTAGAAGACTTTGAATTTGATCCAAAACACTAGGACTGTTAAGTTCATTTTCCTTTTGAGTGATGTTGCATTCTAAACTAGAGATGGGTGTTGAGTAGTCAATTTTTTGATCTGGATCTATGTATGATGATGTGCCATTTCCTGCCACCTATTTTGTCTTATGTTTCTTGCTTTTTTTCCCTGTCCTAATTTTGCAAGCATTTGATTGGTGAGTTTTTCACAACTCATTTCGATCAGTTGCTGGCTTGCTGCCAAATGTTTTATCTATAGAATTGTCTTCTTTACAATGCTAACAAAAATGTATTATTGTGCTGCAGCTATCGCGGATAATTTACTGTTCTCAAGTAACATGCATGTGCTTCATTGTCACTAAGTATTCATACTACTTCTCGGCTGATGTTGAATCTGGTGCATGAAAAACTCTATTCCTTATATACTTACTGCCTTATATAGCTTAATAGTTTTATGTTGTATTGTTTCTTTTAGACTAAAATTCATGCAATGTGTTCTTTGGGACGTAGGTTGCCAATTTTTGAGAAAGGCATGACCAGCATTCCATGGATGAAGCACGGATTCTATTGGTATGAGTTTCATCGGATTATTCTGTGAGAACTTTTGATTGTAAATTTTGTGAATTGTTGTCGCTTGTTTCTTGGGTGACATATATTTTCTCTAGGGTCGCATTTTGGATGCTTTTGTCGGGAAATTTAGTATTTCAAGCTACCATTCCTCAGGTACTCTGTGATTGCTATATAAATTCTTTGCTACTGTATTCTCGCTATAAATTTTTGCTTAGATCTGCTGAATTGCTTGACCTTATTTCTTTTCTAACAGAACTTACCTTTGGTCAGTTCCTGAACTCTATAGTTAATGTTTGTTTTCACAGCACTTGGCTTATGGGATTTACAAGTTAAATTAGCCTAGTGCCAACATTTTCATGCTTTAAGCAGTTAAGGGAATTTTCTTTTGGGGTTGATGTCATGCTTTATGGAGCTCATGTGTAGTTTGTGTTGTAGATTAGATAAATATACAATCTTTTTGGGGTTTTGTCTTATTATTAAATCTTGTTTTTTCATAAGGATGCTGGTATTTGTTCTTTATTTATTTTTTATTTTTTGGGTTCAAATGGTTATAAATCTAATACAAAATGCAGTGGATTGTTTCTTATAAAATAAATAATAAATAATATAATAATAAAAAAAGTGGAGTAATGGAGTATTTATCTGAACTTTCCTACAGTTTTCAACCAAAATTGTTGTCTTTTGTGCTTATTTATGGATGAGAGTTGGCTATGCTAACTGGTAGAAAAAGTGTGGCAAAACAGTCCATAGTTTTTCATGGGATCAGTTATCCTATGTATATCAATTAATTGGTGGACCTAGGATAAGTTATCCTCCTTCCTTTGTGCAATAGCAAGCCGGGATTGGGATTATAATCCCACAACAATCCATTCGCATGTTTTATCCCATGCATTAAACCTTGAAAATTTCTGGTCTTAAAGACTAAAGCAATTATATTGAAAATTTAGTTTGCTTCAAAATTGCATGCATTTAAGACTATTTTTTTTTTCTTTGCCTCGCATATGAGCGGATTTGTAACAATAACTTACTGGTTTATTATCAGAAGTTATTGAGCAATTTGTACTTGCATCCCCCAAATTATTAAAATGTTGATATGTTTGACAATGATCTATTATGCATGTTTGATGTACCTTCTCTTCATTTCCAGCAAGCTTCTCCATCCATTCAAAATTCAATATCTTGTCTCTTGGTTCTTGTTGAATAATCTCTGTCAATGCTGACAACTTATATGTTCTTTTTATGGTGAAGCTGTTAGAGGAAGGTGGAGGGAAAGGATCGTGCACTTTGAGGTCAAAGCTTGAACTCCGGTGCAGGTTGTTTTGCTACTTCTGTTTCAGTTAACTGTTTTATGTTTGAACATTACTATATTTTAAAGATCTGGATTGCTTTGAAACTTGTCTTGGTATTTAGTCTTCTTCATTTCATCTCCCCTTTCTGACTTAATGGCATTGAATTTTTTTTTTTTTTTTTTTTTTTCCTGAGGAGAAATTATGACAATATCATTGATTGAAATAGTAATTACCAAGAGAATGAATAACTGTCCATAGAAGTGAGATCCATTAAGATCTATACAATATAGATTGAACAACTCAATAAAAAGCAATAGACAACTTAGAAATCAATGCCATAGGACAAAATTAACCCAAAATCCCAATCTAAGTGAATAAAGAAAAAGTACTTTTTGTAAAAGCTTTGAGATTGAAGGCTGTTACAAACAGAGAACTGATTGTAATTTTCCATATTGTATTGACAAATTATACATCAATATATAGGAAATAAAGAACTAATCTAGGAAATAAATAATCTAATCTAGGAAATAAAAATCTAACTTCCTATTTTACAGATTTGTTCCTTTATGTATTGATTACAATCCAATATCCTATTATAGATTTATACACTCCTATTTTACAGTTTGTTCCTATTACGTATTGATTACAATCCTAATATCCTATTATAGATTTATACACTTAATCATGCAATATTTGTAAATTTGCATGATTATCTACAACAGTCCCCCTCAAGATGGAGCATAGTGTTAATCAGCCAGCTTGTTACAAATATAATCAATCCAATCCCATTCAAAGCTTTAGTAAAAACATCTCCTAATTGCTCTCCAGTCTTCACATACTGTAGAAATTAAACCTTGCTGATTTTCTCACGAATGAAATGACAGTCAATTTCAATGTGCTTAGTTTCGTTCATGAATACGGGATTAGAAGCAATATGAAGAGCGGCTTGGTTATCACACCACAATTTTGCTGGCAAAGAGGCCATAAGACCAACTTCAGTCAAAACTGATATATCCATATTACTTCACACAAGACTGGGCCATAGCCCTAATTCCTTCTGCACTAGATCGGGACACAACAGTTTGCTTCTTACTTCTCCATGAGACCAAATTTCCACCAATAAAAACACAAGCCTGTAGTGGATCTCCTATCTATCTTGGAACCCGCCCAATCTCATCAGAGAGCACTCAATATTATTATGTCCATGATTTCCGTACAAATACCACGTCCTGGACTCCTTTCAGATAACACAGAATCTGTTCTAACGCTGCCCAATGATCAACAGTAGGAGAAGACATGAATTGACTTACTAACTGACAGAGTACGCAATATCAGGACGAGTGACCGTTAGATGTTCACTTTCACCCATCTTCTGTACCTCTCAGGATCTTCAAATAGTTCACCATCTTTGGTAAGTTGCGAATTGAAACATTGGCGTACTACATGGCTTAGCACTCATTTTCCTGTCTCAGTTAATAAGTCAAGTACATATTTTCTTGAGAGGAAGATGCCTTTCTTGCTCCTTGTTACCTCAACCCCTAAGAAATACTTCAACACCCTAAATCTTTTGTATGAAACTGAGTGTGAAGAAATGACTTAAGTAATGAAATCCCTGTAGTGTCACTCCCAGTGATGATAATGCATCAACATATACAACAAGAAGAATAATGCCAACTGCCGATTGTTTGTAAAAGACTGAGTGATCAGACTTGCTCTTTGTCATTCCGAACTTGCAACTACCTCACTAAACTTTCCAAACCAAGCACGTGGACTCTGTTTCAAACCATACAACGATTTGCGAAGATGACAAACTTTCCCATACTCCCCCTGACAACAAATCCAGGTGGTTGCTCCATATAGACTTCTTCTTGAAGGTCCCCATGTAAAAAGGCATTTTTTATGTCCAACTGATGTAATGGCCAGGATGAGTAGCTGCCATAGAGATAAATAAGCGAACAGAAGTCAATTTAGCCACAGGGGAAAAAGTGTCAGAATAATCCACTCCATAAGTTTAAGCATAGCCTTTAGCTACAAGACGAGCTTTAAGCCTAGCCACTGACCCATCAGGATTTCTTTAACAGCAACACCCATTTGCATCCAATAGCTTCTTTCCAATAGGTAAGTCAACCAAGTTCCAAGTACCATTAACATCTAAAGCATTCATCTCTTCTATCATAGCATCACGCCAACCAGGATGAGATAAGGCTTCATGGACAGTTGCGAAGGGAGACAGAGTCTAGTGATGCACACAAAACAAGAGAAGATGATAGGTGATCATAAGAACAAATGAAGAGATAGGATAAGTACATTGACGTTTCCTTTCCGAAGAGCAATGGGAAGATCAAGATCATTCAAGGTTGGATCCAACGACGAAGAGTCTTGGGTAGGACATGAAGTCTGAGTGTCTTGACGAGGAACACAGGTATCGGATCACTGGAGACTGGGTTTAACGACGAAGGGACCGGTACAGGAGTTCTTTCGACGAGAATAGACATGCGAAATGGAATTAGTGGACGGACAAGTGTGTGCCTGAGGAGGAACAGTAGGTGGGGAAGACTCAGGTGTGGGAGTAGCTGGTAGGGATGTGACAGTATAGATTAGTAAGTCATCGTCCTCCCCCTGACGTGTATAGGTAGACGAAGTGGGGAAAAAGGGGTGTTTTCTAAGAAAGTAACATCAGGTGACACCAGATACTATTAAGATCGGACAATAACATCGATATCCCTTCTGAAGACGAGAGTAACCTAGAAACACATTTAAGAGATTTGGGATCTAACTTGTTATGGGGTCGAACATCACGAACAAAACAAGTACTACCAAATATCTTTGGGGCATAGGAAACAAAGGCTTAGACGGGAAAGAAACACTGTAAGGAGTAGAACCATTCAAATAGAGAAGGCATGCGGTTAATTAGAAAACAGGCCGTGGAAACTGCATCGGCCCAAAACTGTTTAGGACTTGCATTTGAAATAATAGGGCTCGAGCGGTTTCAAGAAGGTGCCTATTTTTCCTCTCGGCTACTCCATTTGGACGGTGTGTCAACACAAGAGGATTGATGAAGAATGCCATGCTGGCTCATATAGACTGAAAAGAACTCGAAAAATATTCTTTGGCATTATCGCTTCTTAATGTCTGGACAGAAGTATTAATTGAGTTTTAACTTCAGCACAAAAGCACAAAAATGAGAACAACTCAGAACGATTTTCATTAAATAAAGCCAAGTTACACGAGAGTTGTCATCAACAAAGGTAACAAAATTTTAAATCCAGGTTTACATACTAGAACACGGACCCCAAACTCTGAATGAACTAATTCAAAAGGGACACTAGCCCGTTTATTGACTCTTGACTTGAAGAAAGACGGTGGTGTTGGCAAATTGACATGACTCACAATCTAACGAAGATAATTTATTAAACTGAGGACATAGTTCTTTAACAATGGTAAAGAAGGATGTCCTAACCGAC